CTCTCTCTCTCTCTCTCTCTCTCTCTCTCTCTCTCTCTCTCTCTCTCTCTCTCTCTCTCTCTCTCTCTCTCTCTCTCTCTCTCTCTCTCTGCGTTGGAAGGCGCACGGACAACCTATGAGCCTCTCTCGCGCGCAATGGCGCACCTCTCTCTCTCTCTCCCCGCACTGTAAGGCACACTCTCCCTCTCTCGTGCGCGCTATGGCGCACCTCTCTCTCTCTCTCTCTTTCTCTCTCTCGCGCGCGCGCGTGCGCGTTCCAACCTGACGGGCAACCCGTCCGTCGCGTTGGAGCGTTAGTGCTCGCGCGGCAAATTAGTTGCGGCCGAACGCGCTTGCGCGCTAAGTACCTGTTCGGCCCGTTCCCCTTGCACCAACCCCCAGGCGGCAGCCGCAGGCCGGTGCCCCGCGGGTTTTTTTTTTTCTTTGAAAAAAAAAAAAAAAAAATGAATGCACGGGGTGGTACCCGACAACGAGTACTACCACCCTGCACCTTCACAAAACCCCCTCCCCCCCCTCGACAGCGCGAAATAACGGTTCGCGGACCCCGTTCATTCGCGTCCAACGCGCGTTTGAACGGAGATTGAACGCGAATTGAACGCGCGTTCAACTTTTTAACGCGCACCCCGCGTTAAATCGAATTTCGGACACACAACTGACTTTGTCGTCCCCTGGTCTGCTGGGTCTTTCAACCTCTCGATCATGTTGTTTCTTTCATTGGCCTTAATTTTGGAGAAGAAGAATTTGGAGATGGATTCGTTCAGGGCGTAGTCGTTCATTTGGGCGGAGATTTGTAGGCCCCTGAGTTCCCATCTTCTCCCTTCATTTAATTCATCCGTGGTAGCTGCGTAGCACGGCCGCTCACGAACATGTTTGGGCGAATATTTTTTTTCGTTAAAAAAAATAAAAAAAATCTGGTTTTTATTTTTAATTCATGATTGGATACGAATTTGAACATGACTCCAACGCAAACGTTGCTCGTATTGTTATTTCACATAATATATATATTTTTCAAAATTTTATGAGAACTTTTTTTTATTTTATGTTCACGTTCGGAGGGTTTTGGGCGGTTGTTCGCGTTCTGGTGAACGAGCACACAATGCTTCGTAGCCTGGTAGATTGTAGTAGGTCGTAATAGGAGTTGGAAGAATCTGATGCAAGGTTGGTTTCAGCGATGTCAAGAGCAATTTACAATTCTTCCTTCTTGATTTTGCGTGTTGCTGCTATGCTCCTAGACTCTGATGAGACCGTCTGAGATAGGTCCGTATAGCTGTCTATGAACTAGTTGTGCCTGCTCTGGCGTTTCATCTCGTCTTGTTGTAAGAAAACCCAGTTCCATCTGAGTGCCTCTGTCATGCGATCTGTGGAGAGAAGTGAGTTGAGTTTGAAAAAAACTCGTCCGTTTTCTATCGGAGAGTTGAAGTTGAGGAGCAGGTAGGTTGGTTTGTGATCGAGCCCCTTGAAGGAAGTTGCTGGTAGGATATCGGACTCCTTGATTGCTCCTTGCAACATGTCGGAGATTAGGAAGAAGTCGATCCGTGATAGTGATGTGTGGGTAGATCGGTTTGTTTTGACTAGGGAGAAGGCTTTCTTGCGTGGGTGGAGGATTCGAAAAGGGTCTATCAAATCGAACTCCGTCATGATGTTTCTCACTTGTGTGTTCGCTCCTGTGGGTCCGAGAAGAGTTGCCCGGGAGATGCGGTCCAGGCTGGGATCCATCGTCACGGTGGTGTTCCAATCGCCTGCAATGATTAGCGGTAGGGGGTTCGAGAAGAGTGATTTGATGCGGTTAAAGAAAGTTGGGCGTTCGGTTTTCGTGTTGGGGGCGTATATGTTCAGGATCCTGATCTCTTCCTCTTGCCATATGATTTGGATCCATGACCATCTTCCTTCTGCTGTGTTGCCTTCGCCGTTTCTTACCTGTCCTTCCGACCAGATTTTGGATGTAGTTGGTATGAGGATCGTTGTTCCGCGATTGCTTTGGTCCGCTTTGTTGGACCACAGTGTGAAAGGGCATCCACCTAGGCTTTTTTCCACGGTCTTCTTGATTAGATGGGTCTCTTGTAGAAGGATGACATCGGGTTTGGGCTTTCTTTGTCTGTGAGGCCGAGTCTGATGTCTAGTAGTTTATCGTCTTGATCGAGAATACTCGAAGCCGTTGACGTTCCATTTGTGGATTGTCAGTCCTTTGGCTTGCCAATCTACCCTCACTGTCCCAGACTGATCCTCATTGCAGTCCATTGGACTTCGTCTGGCGGGGTGCTGTGCTCAGATTGAATTTTTTTTTTTTTTTTTTTTTTTTTTGTTCGGTTGGGATAGGGGTTTGTTGGGCAGTGTTTATAACTGAAGGTTAGATATATTTAGTCCACAGCGGCAGAGGTTTTGGGGCTGCCTTGAGTCCTCGCTGTTCTCACTGCTCTCGCTCATATTTTTCCCCGGCATGGATCTCAGGTTGTATGCCCCCACGCTTCCTTCGGGCAATGGCGTGACTCCAGTCCTTGCTCCTTCCGAGGAAATCCCATTAGCCACCTCGTAGTCTTCGTCGTCGGCCATATTTCCCTCGTTGTCGTCGGGCTCCACGTAGAGTGTCCTGGCTTCGTCTTGCAGGGAGTGCTTTGTGATGAGGATGTGGGACCTGATAATGGAGGTCAGGGAGACCGCCATAACCTATGTCGGGCACATCGTACCTGCAAGAGTGTTGTACGGCAGCGCTGTCACAGTGTTCCACGTTGAGCCTCTTCATACCAGTTCTTCGTGTAATTTGGCTTTCTCATCCGGTTTCACTAAGATTGGCTTGAAGGACTTGGCTGTGTCGGGGGCCTGGCCTGTTTTGTCTTCATTATCTGCCTGGGCCGCTAGGACTTCATAAACGTCCGCAGGGAATTCGTCTATGATCCCTTCTTTGATTGTTCTGGTCAAGGACCGTTGGTCTCCCAGCGTCGGGATAGTGAAGGATACATCAGTGGCTACGTGCCACTCGCCGAGTTTCCTCCTGTACCAGACGGGGACCAGAGGTCTGACGACTTTGATTTTTTTGCTGTCCGATGCTGCTTTCTCAGTGACATGGGGAGCCCTGCTTTCCGCGACATTTCTGATTGTGCAGTACTCTTTGTTGTGTTTCTGGCGGTACTCCTCATTCTGATCGAACAGGCATTTTGTCTGAGTAGCAACAATGGTCGTCTCTCGTTTGATGGATCGTTGCTCGCTGCCTTTTTCCAATGTATCAGCTTAAGATTTCCTGGGCCTCTCGTCTCTGCCCTTCGAAGGCTTCCATTTTTTTGGTACCATGTCTCTGATTGGGTCCTTGTGGGACTGTGTGTCCGCGCTGGATTTCGCTTTTGAACCAGGGGCTTCTCTTTCCCTCTTCTTCTCGTGGTAACGGAAAGCATTGAACTCTGATAGCTCGCTTTGTTGTCACAGGATGTCGTATGAATTCTTCGAAGTGTGGATCCCTGCTACCGTGGTCTTGTTGTTCCTGCCTATCTCCTCTTGATGTTTCATGCATGCCACGCGGATGTCGAAATTTTTTTCCCTCTCGTTTTTGGCTCTTTCAAGATATTCTTGCAGCCACAAAATCGGAGTCTCCCTTTCCTTTTGAGTTCTCTACCTTCTTTTTTTTGTGGGAGATATATACATTCCTTGCTGGGTTAGATCCTGGTCTAAATGATCCGGGTCTGTTAAGGAGACTGGTACTGTCGTGACTTAATCTTGTGAGTAACCGGGACACTAGGTTCATAAGTGCAGATTGGAAGGACTTCACCTACCAGATCCTCAATTTGACGTTTGGCCGACATCCCAAAGCCAATGGATTGGCTGAGGAGGTCAACCAGACTGTGATCCAACTTCTTCGAGCTTTAATTGTGCCCGATCAGAACTCTTGGGATTAGGAATTGCCGATTGTGCAGGGATTGTATAACAACTCCATACACTCCTCCACCGGGATGACACATAATCGGTTGCACCTCGGTTGGTAGATTCGCAATCCCCTATCCTATCTGTTTCCTGACCAGCCACCTGGTCTGACACCTGGCCAGCCAGGCTACAGCACTAAGTTTGATCGTTTGCTCAAAGTTGATGTCGCCGCCATGGAAAAGCGACGCAGTGCCATGATTAAGCATGCAA